GAATTCTGGGAGTTGAAGTCCACTCATCTTAAAGGGGCCAAGTTTGGACAACACTGCTATAAAGGGTGGTGTGTGGGGCCCACCCAATCAATCACGGTTTTCTTGTGAATGGACCATCATTGGATGAAGAGTTTCTTTTACCCCCAAAAAAGGTTTTCAAAGATCCTCTTTCCCAGATCTGAATCTCTGAATGCATCAATTACTTATTTTTCAGCTGCATGCGATTCTCTTTTTACTGGTAAGAAAGGCTGTTTATTGGCTGATAATAACAGCAAGCCCTCTGAGCTTGTACAGAGGGCTCCTTTTTCATCCAAGTGGAGCTAGGTCAGGTCAGGGAGGGATGTGTTCCACAAAGGCCTGCAGGACGTAGACCTGGAGTTGGGAAAGGGCTCCAGATCCGAACACAAGACGCTAGGGGGAATGGATGTAAAAACAGAAGAATAAGATTTCCCTTTTGATAAGCTAGAATTCACTAAAATCAAGCGCAGAATGAGCAAAAGGAAACATTGATAGTCTCCATTTCCCCGAAAGGATGGACCTGGAGGAAGGGGGTGGGTGGGTTAAAGTGGCATCAGGTCACAGCCTCATAAATAAACGCCCGAGTCTTGTGGTGTTTCTGGACTTCTTACATATGTGGAAACCCAGGACAAGTCAGCAGGCAAAGAATAAAACTGGGCAGAGTCCAACTGGCCCTTTTTAATCAGCCACACAGCACAGAGGTTTGTTTCACCGTTCGGAGGATTATCACAAATGCTCCCTTTTCTCGCCAGCCCCTATTCACACAAGTATCGCCCAGCAGCTTCTAGGGGTGGGCTTTGCAATGCAGCTGCGATGACTGTCTGGATCCATCGCTTGGGGCACCAGGTCCTCTTCGAAGCTCTGTTGCACAACCCTCCCAAGTGTTTTCGCACAGCCCTAGTAGCCAGCGATCAGCAGCGTTTGCTGAAACAAGTATTTTCTATTAGCAAACTACTAAAAAACTGAGACATTCTGCATGCCTAAAAGGGACACTTATAACATTTTACAGAAATGTTAAAATAGAGGCAGCATTACATGCAAGGACAGAGATGGTAGAAGGTTTTGTTTTGACTCTGGGTTGTCCAGTGCACCGGTCAGTCACGGTTTAACCTAATCTTAACATGCACAGGACAGTTTGTAATCCTGGATGAAAGCGCAGACCTGACATGCATCATGGAGAACCCACTGAGAAGAGAAGTTCTGCCAGTTCTGTGCAAACCCAGTATTGCAGTTTGTCAGACATTGTTCAGGATTTAGCCTTCTGGGTGAACCCAGCCAACTGTGGCTTGTTCAGGGGAAAAAAAGAGAAAAATTAAAACCAGATGGATTTAGCAGAATGGGTGAACTCAGCCAAACTCTTTCTCCTTCCCAGTTTTCCAGATCTAGAGCTAGATTTCAGGACCATGACTTCTACTGCTGCTCCAATTCGGCGCTTGTCCACCGCATCATCGGTCACCAAAGCCGCTAAGTTTGTCATGACAACCAAGTGGCTTTGGTACTGGAAGAATGACCAGGGCCAGTGGATTGAATATGGAAAACAGGTCAGTAGAGAACTAAGGCATCTCTAGTCTGTGAAAGTATTCTGTTGGCTGCTTCCAGTCCTAAGAGAATTCTTAGCATCTGGGGAGGAATCCATGTCAGGTCTTAAGGCATCAGTCCACCCGTGAGGGATTCTGTGAGAAAGAAGTTCAGAGAACTCATGGAGACCTCCTCTTAATGTACTCACCAAGAAATGAGAGTACCTCTCTAGTTTTCAAGATTCCATAACTAATCACTTTTCCCCAACATTGGAACGAACGATGGTGATTCTATGTCAGTCTTGCTTCCTTACCTGTTGAAGGCTGGTTAGGAAAGGATAAGCAATGTTATTAGGGTTAGGGTCAGAGGTTATGTGAGGCTGATAGGTGCCTCCCTTCCTCTTCCCCCCTTCAGAGGCTGCTGGTTTCCATATTCCTTGTGTGTTGGCAGGAGGAACAAAGAATGTATAGAAAGTGTTTTAACAACATGGCATTTTCTTACATTGTAAGTGGATCATTGGCATGGAACAGTGTTTTTCAACCTTGGGAACTTTAAGATGGGTGGACTTTAAGATGGGTGGAC